GAGAAATTGGTAAAAAAAAAAAAATGCTAATGTCAGAATGCAGAAGCTCTTAAAAATAACCTTCATTGTCTTATAGCAAAATAATATTACTTATTTCATTCTTATTTCATTTGATTAGGTACGTCGATGATGGCAAATGACACTCGTCCTTATGTTTTATGATGCTTTATTTTCTGGAGCGTGACAATGTCCATTTACATTGAGTGTATAGAAAACATACCATATATTTTCCTTTAGAGAAGAAAGTCTTTGTAGTTTAGAATGACCTGAGTGGGTGAATAAATAATGATAATGAGTTTTTTGGGTCAGCTACTCCAGTAAAATCACCTTTTTTTAAGTTCAACACTTGAAAGTGCAAAAGGAATCAGTAATCTGCTTTTCTCAGCGTGAATCCAACGATTTGATGACTCTTGATTACTGTTGTTGACTTTCCTCTCTTCCCGGAGAGCAGAAATGGAGATGACTAGTCTGTGAGTCCGGCTCAGATATCAGAGAACCGCGGGGAGCTTTAAGCTGCTGTGTGAGTGTGTTTGAGATCTCCTCATTATCGCAGCCCTCCCACTGAGCTGATGAATTAGTAACGTGCAGCAGTGGGACGCGCCGTAATGAGAGGAGCTTTCTGAGCTCCACTTTTCCACCCGCTTCACCTCGCGATAGCGGGAAGATGTGCCTCACAGCCAGCATGAATTAATAACAGCCCGCTGCTGGCATGAGCCGCTCAAACTCTCACGTGATGGAGGAGTCTGAGACCCGAGAAAAGGCCTGCTTTCGCTGCCTTCATCATCTGTGTCTGCAGTCTGATGCAGGACGTGTTTCTGAATCAATATGCTTTATAATCGTAGATTTAACTACCCCTAAAATCAGCTTATAGTAAGCCGAGATCTGAAGAATCTAAAGCCCCTAAAATCTGATTGGTCGATTGAAGCGTGATACTTTGCTAAATCATATGAATTAAATGGAAATTTAAAGGAATAGTTCATCCAACAATCAAAATTTTGTTATCATTTAAAGTACATGACGTTTCAAATCTGATGTTTCATTCATTAAACACAAAAAGAGACGTTTAGCTCAATGGTGAATCTGCTCTTTTGCATACAATGAAAGTAAATTGTGAAAAGCGTCTGTCAGAATCCATAAGAGCATCATAAAAATAGTTGAGTTGAGCACTATATTCCAACTCTTCTGAAGTCATAACTAAAACATATTGGAAAATAAGACATTATTTGATGAGTAGTCGATAAAATATTCATAATTGGATGAATTATACCTTTAATTTTATTTGATCTGTCAGTACTACCATTATGTTTAAATAATATATAATTATTATTCTATTATGTTAATGAAAATTAGATATTTTATTAGATTTTTTTTTATTGTTTTTTAAATGTATTTATAATTTATTAATTATTTTTTTTATAATGAGAAGTAAAAAAAAAAAACAATAATTGTACTCAAAATAACATCAGAATGCAAAAACTTAAAAATAGCCTTCATTATCTTAAAGCTAAATATTATTTCTTATTTCTTTCTTTTGATTGGGGGCGTGATAAACGACATAGGTCTCTACTGTCTTTAATCATACTTTATTTTCATCAACTCACAAAAACCCCAGTTTGGGAAACCCTGCTGTGAAGCAAACAAACAAACAAATAAATCATATAAATTAAAATATTTTGTAAATTACTACAAGATAATATATTTTAAATAAAATGTTAAATATTAAATAAAATATTTTTTTGTTTACCTACATGTCATGTGATCATTAACCAACATCAGAGAGCTGTGAATATGCAAATGTAACTTAAAATCTCAGGGGTACAAGGAAATATTTTAGGCCAAAGAGCTTCGGCTGACGAATAAATTTGGGAAACCCTGCATTACAGTAATGACAACTGGAGCCAAAAATGCTTAATTGTCAGGAAAATATTGTGGGATTGTAAAAAAATCTTAATGGTCTTAAAACATGCTTAACATACTGTATAATTTGTCCTTTGTTGTCACACTGTTTGTGTGCGTCTCAGATTTTCTCCAGAGAACACCGAGCTGTTGACCACATTGGGACTGCTGTACATGCAGGTGAGTGACGCGTGTTCATCACAATCACCACGGCAACATCCATCTATATAGTCATACATACAGTGCAAAACCAGCAAAACAGATGATTATTAGTGGAGTTGGTATTTTCACTAGTACTCATTCTTACGATCAAATTCAGATTATAATTTACGTTTGTCTGTTGCTTGGCAACCACTTTGTTGCAACCACAACTGTTTCTGAGGAACTACATTGTTTGGTGGAAGAATACTGTTTTTATTAATATCATTACACTTTATTTGCTCTGTTTTATTTTGTGAAACCTTACTACGTATATGGAATAACCGTTTTATAAAAGCAATAAGCCCCGTGAAGCCGTAAATGTATTTATATATATGTACATATATATGTATATGTGTGTGGCTGTACATATGTAGTTGTTTTTTGGTGTTTGGCTTAGTGTTATGTTAGAATCATTATTAAACTCTTATACCTTTTGTTCTTTTAATATTTTTGAATTGTTTTTAGCTTTATTTTTTAGTTTTCATTTAAATGTTTTAGTTTTGAAATGTTGTTGTATGCATTTGTCATTTTTATTTAATTTCTTTTATTTTCTTAAATGTGTGTGTATATATATAGTATTTATAGAGGGTATTTTAGGACAACGCCCTTTAGCTGTTATAAATTCACTGTAAACCACGGCTTCACGGGGCTTACTGCTTTTATTTGAACAAACCTCTAACCTTAAACAAAAAAAAAAAACTAATTGTGTTATATTACTTTAAATATATTGCTTATATATATTTCTTGCATTATGCTAATAAAAATGAGATATTATTATTTTTTATTTTATTATTTTTGCATTATAGTAGGGTCTCCCAAACTGTAGTTTGCAAGTTTATGAAAAGCTAGTAATTAATTAAATCAGAATTAATTAATTAAGCATTATAGCAGGGTTTGATGAAGTTTATGAAAAGCTAGTAATTAATTAAATCATAAAAAAATATATAAATTAATAAATAAATACCTTACATTTTATTTCAAACACAGTAAACATGATGATTAGTGGAGTTGCTTAGGTATTTTCACTAGTACTCTCAATTTCAGATTTGAACAAACCCCTAATCCTAAAAAAAAATATATATATATATTACTTTTCTTACAGACTTAATTGTTTTGTCTGGTGGATGATAGCAACATGTTAAAAGCCACACAGAACACCTTAGCAACTACATAGCAAAGCAACACTCACATTTACTTCAGAAAACAGTTGTCTAATGTACAAACACTGTCTAATGTATTTGTTTACATCTGTCTTCTCTCATTAGCTTGGGAAATACCAGAAAGCCTTTGAGCACCTTGGAAACTCTCTGACATATGACCCCAATAACTTCAAGGTGGGCTGCAGTGTTTGCCTTGCCTTTAGCACTCTTACCAACTCCAAGTGTCATTAGCATTGAGTGTTTGTGTGTGTGTTCAGGCCATCCTCGCGGCCGGCAGTATGATGCAGACTCACGGAGATTATGACGTGGCCATGAATAAGTACCGTGTGGCGGCGTACTCTGTCCCTGAGAGCCCGCCGCTCTGGAATAACATCGGGATGTGCTTCTTCGGCAAAAAGAAATACGTGGCTGTGAGTTCCAGACTTTCACGAGAACATTTAGCACTTTTTTTTTCTTTACCTGTTTCACCTTTTCAACTTCCTGCTCCTCTCCTGCAGGCCATCAGCTGTCTGAAGAGGGCAAACTATCTGTCTCCGTTTGATTGGAAGATCCTGTACAATCTGGGTTTGGTTCATCTCACCATGCAGCAGTACGCATCAGCTTTCCACTTCCTGAGCGCCGCCATCAACCTGCGGCCACGCATGAGCGAACTCTACATGCTACTGGCCGGTAAATATAAGAAAAACTACTACTCAAATAGTCTGAAATAGTTTTATCAACAGGTAACATGTGCTGCTTTTCTTTTTATTTAATAAAATATATATATATATGTGATCCTGGACCACAAAATTAGTCATAAGGGTCAATTTTCGAAATTGAGATTTATACATCATCTGAAAGCTGAATAAATAATCTTATCATTGATGTATGGTTTGTTAGGATAGGACAATATTTGGGCGAGATACAACTATTTGAAAATCTGGAATCTGAGGGTGCAAAAAAATCTAAATATTGAGAAAATCATCTTTAAAGTTGTCCAAATGAAGTTCTTAGCAATGCATATTACTAATCAAAAATTAAGTTTTGATATATTTACGGTAGGAAATTTACAAAATATCTTCATGGAACATGATCTTTACTTAATATCCTAATGATTTTTGGCATAAAAGAAAAATTTATAATTTTGACCCATACAATGTATTGTTGGCTATTTCTACAAATATACCCCAGCGACTTAAGACTGCTTTTGTGCTCCAGGGTCACATTTATATTGTAAAAAATATTTACATAATAATAATAAAAACATAATATTTTAAACAAAATAGTAGCTTTTTAACTAATTAAAAAATAATAATTAATGTGTGACTTTACATAAAAATAATAATGCAGTATGATATTTTTATTAAATAAATTTGAAAATAAAAACAGTTAAAAAACATTAATTAAGAAAGACAAAAAAAAACAGATCATGTATTTTCCATAAAATATTAACTATTAAAATCATCCATGTTTGAGCAAATCTACATGCTTCTGGCTGGTAAATATTTCACATACTAATAAACCACAACTAATACTGTCTGAAATACTTTTTTAAACAGGTAGCATATGTCACTTTTTTATTTAATTTAAATATAAATAATGTGTTACTTCACATAAAAAATAATAATGCAGTTTGATATTTGTATTAAATACATTATAAAATAAAAGCAATTAAAAAACACTTATTAAAAAAAAAGTAGTGCTGTCAAACGATTAATCACGATTAATCGCATCCAAAATAAAAGTTTTTGTTTACATAATATATGTATGTGTGCTGTGTATATTTATTATGTATATATAAATACACTCACAAGCATGTATATATTTAGGAAAAATATGTTATATTTGTATATTAAATATATTTATATACAATATCTATTATATAAATATAAATATATACATGTAAATATTTTCAAAATATATACTGTATGAGTGTATTCATATATACATAATAAATATACACAGTACACATACATATATTATGTAAACAAAAACTTTTATTTTGGATGCGATTAATCGCGATTAATCGTTTGACAGCACTAAAAAAAAGATAATAAATTTTAAATAAAATATTAAAATCATTCACGCATGAGTGAACTCTACATGTTTCTGGCCGGTAAATATATCACATACTAATCAATCACATCTACTACTGTCTGAAATAGTTTTTTAAACAGGTAGCTTATTTTACTTTTTAAAAATTACTTTGCATTAAAAATAATAATTTAATCACAATTGCCGCTGTCTGAAATAGTTTTTAAAACATGTAACGTGTTCTACTTTTGCTATTTACTTAATTTACTTAAATAATGCTTTACTTTACATAAAAAATAATGCAATAATGCACTTGTATTTTTAATAAATAAAACATTTATTTTTATTGGTTGTAAAAGAACAGTGTAAATGTGAGAATCAGTATTGGTCCAGTTTAATTTAATTTGATTATGATTTGTGCTCTGACACTCATCAGTCACTCTGACCAATCTGGACGACGCAGATAACGGCCGCAGGTCTCACGAGCAGGCGGTTCTGCTGGATGAGTATGTTCTTCAGACTCTGATCTGTGCTGGTGAATCTACAATGTACAGAACTAGTTGAGTTTAAGTGAGAGTATTTTGTCTGGCAGGTCAAACCCGCTGGTGAACCTGAACTTTGCGGTGTTCCTGTATAATCAGGGCGATAAGAAGGCCGCCTTGCTGCAGTTTCAGGAGATGGAGAGAAAAGTCAACGCTCAGGTCGAGAATAACAGCAACACTGACTTTGACCCAGAGGTAACACATTTTGGCCACAAATTCTCATCACTGTAATGTGTCCCAAAATATGTAATTATTATTTTATTTTTTATTATTACTTTAATAAAGTGACAAAAATCATGGAAACAATTAAAACAGTGTAATACCATGATTTAAATAATAATATAATTATTTTTGCATTTATAATAATAATAAGAATTTGTGAGAAAGCAGGCATATTATATTGTAAAATGATTGTAAGATTGAAAACGTTGGACCTTTTAACTGCTCGTTATTTTGATAAGAGCATTAAAGCTGATAATCCTCACAAACTTTGTTAAATCCAACAAATCTGAGAATCACATTTAAGTGTCAGTCCTGGCCGCTCTTGACCCAAGAATCATAACAAAAAAAAGTTTTTTTACAAATTATATATATATAGTGTGTGTGTTGCAGTTCTTATTTCTTATTACTGTAATACAGTGACAAAAATCATGAAATATATATTTTTTTAAATTAAAACCAGTATAATAAATGCCATGATGTATACATTTTTTACAATTTAAATAATATATAAATCTTTGTATATATTTTTATTATAAATATGCATTTATAATAATGAGAATTTGTGAAAACATGCTTATTATATTATAAAAATTGTTTGTAAAAACTAATTTATTTTTTATTTTTAGAATGTTTGCTTAATAAAATGTAAATGTAAAAAAAAATATTTAAAAATCATGTATATATATATATGTGTGTATTTTTATTTATTATGTTTTTTTTTTTTTATTCATTCATTCAGTCTGGTAATTAATAAAAATGATTTTTACTAATGATGATTCACACACATTCTCACATTGCCGTTGAATCACAGGAGATCTGGTCTCTTTCTCACACAGCTGGTAGAAATGGCTCAGAAACTGGGCACCGCTCTCCAGGCGGGTGAGAACCTGTACTGGAGCAAACTGGGCAAAGACAGCAAGACCAGCCAGCGGTCCTCCTCCAGCAAACCCAGCAGCTCCCAGCAGCCCCTGGGCACCAACCAGGCCCTCGGTCAGGCCATGTCTTCAGCCGCAGGCTACAGCAAGAGCATGCAGATCACCTCAGAGCCCGAGGCGGATGTGAGCAGCGCCCCATCTCCCCCTACAGTCACTCCCGGAGAGCCCGAGGATGAGGATGAGGAGACGGCCGAACCAGCCAAACTCAAAGAGAAGAAGAGTAAACCGAGAGCAGCGGCTGAATAGAGCTCTATCTATATCCAAAGCTGAAGGGGTTTATAACTTATCAATGTACAGCGTTTATATAGAGGTGAATTAAAGTGCAAAGTTACAATCTTTAGATGTCTGTTTAAATGGTGCATTATATTAATGTAGATGATTAATTTGTGTCTTTCCAACTTTAGAAATATAATAATTAAGTTGTGCATAAAAAGCATGTCATTATCATTTTGGACTTTGTAACACAATCACAGTTACACGCCCTGCACAGAAACAGTTGTGGTTGCAACAAAGTGGTTGCCGAGCAACACACAGAAGTAAACAAAGGTGTGTGTTTGTAGAGTAATTTACAACAGCTTCGAACGTGGCTCAGCCAATCAGAATCAAGGACCAGAACTCTCCGTTTTATAATCCATAATTACTGCCTATTCTGCTTGAGCACATCACTTTTTCTCACAAAATATGATGCATTTCAGTGCATTTTGTGAAGAAGTCTTGTATTCTCCCTTAATCAGCAGAAAAACTGCCACAAAGACATGATTCCTGTCTGAATGCGAGCCAGATTACAACTATTTGTTCAATTCTCAGCCCTTTTTTTACATGTATGGAAGATTGTGAAGACATTATTTTATGCCTAATCCTGATTTCCAATTTTTCCACTTCTTTGCAGATTGTAGGTTAATATATATAAATATAATTATATACAATTAAATTATATATAATCAAATATATATAATTCGATCTTTATTTGTATTTTGTAAAAAAAATATATATATAATTTTTTGCACTTAGCATCATTAAATTAGGTAATATAATTTTTTTTTTTCCAAATCTGCAGATTTATTTTTAAGATGCAGGCTGTGTAATACAAAGAAACAGAGTCATTTTATACCCAGTACAGAAGTGTTTTATTTATATAAAAATATTCCATACTCAAGTTAACAGAGCTAATATTTCTAGTCTTAACGTTTATGATTGAAGGACGTTTTGCCCAGTAACTCTTTTAAAGACTTTGCTGCATAATCACGTGTGCAAACTAGAACCCTAAAACATTTCATATAGTCTAAAAAGTTGCATGAATGTGAACTTTCTGTTAGTTTCTCACACCAAGACTCAATGTCTGCTGTGTTTGAACAACAAAACCTTCTTCAAGTATTGCTGTAATGCTGATGAAGTTTCATTTGCTCCATTAGTAACCAGTTCACGTGACATTAAACTAAAAAAACACGACTCTATGATGTTGCCAATTTCAAATCACACTTTTTTGCCAGAAGGTTGTGAAATTAACAATGATGTTAAAAGTCAACTCTTTTGTTGGTTTGAGAAACTAACAGCATCAATACGGAGTGTTACAGAAATACAGAACACAACAAGATGGAATCCATGAGGTTCATGATCCGAGGCATTTTGAACATCTTGCCTTATTCACGAAACACAAACACATTTGTGTGTAAACGGTTCATAAAACCATTCGTGGTTCATTAACTTCAAACTGCTTTACAAACACTGCTCAACGCTTCTACAACTATGCATTCGTTAAAAAGCCTCAGATGGGCTTGTCAAACTTTAAGGCTGGGTTAAGACAGATGACAAATCACATATCGAGATTAATTAGTACGTCCCAAATAAAACATTAAAAATCATACGTCAACGGTGTTTGGATGGTACATCATGGCTGAAAACCTGAATAAATGACGTCTTTTGTATATACAGATTCATGTCGTCATTAACGCCACCTACAGTACATGATTCACACAGATAACCTGCTGATCAAACCTGAATGAATGGAAGAAAATTACGATTCCTCTTCTTATTATATACAAATGATGCTGGCTCCAATGTACACAAACCTACAGCTAGATTCCCACCCTTAACAACATTAAGATACGTTTAAGACAAGAATAACGAATGGTACTTAATAATATGTGCACTGAATAATGGCCACAACACCGTCAAGGGAAGCTGGTGATCTTAACTATAAACTATTATTCGGGAATTATTTCGACTTTCAGATTGACCCTGGGAACATTGCTTTAATTACTTCTGCTTAATTCCATTAGGATAAGAGAGCTTCACGTTACCTACATTTAAAAAAAAATACATCACTGTATAAACCTGGTTAACCAGAAGTGCATCGACGGCCTTCCGGTTCTGCTACGTATTAACGTTCATACACCAAATAAAGGAGTGTTTAGGAATACAATGAAGATTTGAGATGTTTATAAGACTCTAAAATAATTATCTCGTTCGCTTTCATCCGTCCCAATAGCAGCCGCAGGTCTTCTGCACCTGTTGAGTATGATCTCTTATCATAGTTAAAAAAGTTAGTAGTTCATCCAAACATAAAAGTTCTGTCATCATTTACTTGCCTAAAACCATTTGACTTGCACTTCTGCACTATTTCTCTTGGAATAAAGAAGGTCGTTTAGGTGAGCGAATGATGACCGAACGTTAATTTTTGGTTAAATTAACCGTTTTTAAAAAATGGCAGAGGCTGGTTCATTGTGCTGTCTTTCACAATGCGATTTCAGACAAAAGTAGCAACAACAAAAGGACAGTGCACTGCATCTCCAACTGGTTTTGCTCTGTCGTTTGATGCCCTGTGAGTCTGTTTCTCCAGCTTTAGGATCTAACGACGAGGACATGTCTTCAAAAGCATGGACGAGAGGCGTCTCTTAGAGCTCAGGGCGAGGCGTGACCTCTGAAAACACAAGTCCTTCGGCTGATATGGCGTCGCCCAATCCCACAGTCCTAAGCGGCTGTTTGCACACCAGGACCGGCGTGAGATGGAACGAGACGTTCCCTCTGCGCCACATGGTGACCGGTCGGGTCGGGTCCACCGCTAGGCTCTCCCTCGGCTCTGAGAAGGAGCTGTGGAAGTTCAAAGGCGCCTTGAGGACCACCTTTGTAATATCCACCGCTTGCAGGCCGCAGGCTTGACTGCTGGCCACACGAGCGCCCGCGGCCACCGCCGCCACCTGGTTCCCCCAGTGGCCATCCACCGTAGCCAGGATGTGGTACGCTAGCGTGTGGAAGTGGATCCGGGTCAGATCGGCCTCGGATTCTGGGTCCGCTCGGCCGTGCTGCTCCAGGACCCAGAGCAGGATGTCACTGACGCGGCCCACGTCGGGTACGCCGTCCCAGGAAGTGAGGTCGGCGTGAGGTCCGCCTCCGGACTGAGCCAAAAACAGCAGCTCCTGTTCGTTCAGACCGATGGAGTTCACGATGGGCATGACCTGCTAACAGAAGAGCACAGAGAAACCTGAATGCTGAAGATGCAAACCTTGTCGTTCTGCTTTGATTTACACTAGAATACTGGAGTTGCTTTCTTTAAATGACTGATAAATACAAAAGCTTCCATGTATGACACAAAGAAATATTTGAATGCGTTTTAAAATGTAATTTATTCCTGTGATCAAAGCTGAATTTTCAGCATCATTAAGGCCATCAGGCCGTCTGTGAGCATCTGTCAGGATTGTTTTTTGGTGTTCCACACATCGGCTGCAGTTTGCCCGATTCATCATGTTGAATCGGCGAGAGTGAGAACTCTGATTGGATGTTCAGTTTAGCGAACAAGTCAGTGACCGAGAATTAAAGCGAAAGTGATGTAAACGAGTAAGTAAATGAAGGCTGTTCTAATGTAATGCGATCTTACCCAAGCATTCCAGTATGCAAATATTTTCATGACAACATGCGCCGCTTAAAACGAATAGTTATCAATTCAACATAACTGATATTCAAAAGGGTAAGCAAGCACTGCTTTGTTTACGTTGCGTATATCTTTGTTTCGGTTTCTCCTTTTGAATGATGAATATATACTACTGATACAGACAGCTAATTCCTCTCACGCAGGCGCAGAACGCACGTGTGCAGTCTGCTGTAGTCTTGAGCGGTGCGTTCAAGCAGCTTTTTGGTGCAGACGCAGTCATCGCCGCTAGTTCTTTGAAATCGGCTTGGAGTGTCCCAGCCTTTACTCCAGTCTTCAGTGTCACATGATCCTTCAGAAATCATTCTAATATGCTAATTTAATGCAGTTTTTTTAAAGAATGTAATCTATTTTGATGTTTCTATGATATTTCCAGGTCTGCAAATCGCTAAAATAAAATTTAAATTAAAAAAAAAAATACTACTTTGATAAAAGTCCTTGTTTGGACAAAAATGTAGCACATAGGTATGGAAAAGTATCATTTAAAAAAAGTAACAATGTAACAACGGAACACTATATGGTGTTACTTTTAAAAGTCACATTTGCCAACACTACTGTATACCACCAACAACAATCCTTCCCATGTGCACCATATATACTGTATATCTACTGAACATCAGCCTTCATTAAACCTACACATTTACCTCCTGCAGGATCCGGTTCATGTAGTCTCTGTCTGTCATACTAGCCAGCTCAAGGTGGATGGGCACCTCGTTCCTCACATCTGAGATGGCAACCACCGCCTGCAGGAAGTCAGAACACAGAGCTTGAGAACTAATGTGTTAGATGCAGGAGTGAAGTGTCCAACAAACCTCAAAATATCCCTGTTACTCTGTCAGAGCATTACTGTTATTTTAAATCGGATGGACAATGAGCGATTCTGGTCTCGGACCTCTTTCAGTCGTTCCTCCCAAAGATCCCGGCCCATTCCTTCCATCATATGCAGTCCGGACAGAACCACCAGGTCCGGCTGGAACTCCTCCAGACTGGCCACGAATATCTCCAGCGTGCTCATTTCACCATTGGACACGTCATGAGACAGTATAAAGCGGTTAGCCTGAGGAGCTCGTGAAGAACCCCACTGTTCACCTGTAGGGGGCATCAGAGAGGAGACACAAAAACCCAACGGTTCCAATGAGCCAGAACATGACTGGAGTGGTCAGACCATGTTTGAAAAATATTCAAATTTACCCTTTTACTTTCTTAATCCATGTTTCTGGTCTTATGGTGAACGATTCATATATGATTAGCAGATGTTGTTTTGAGCGAGTCTCACCTGACTTGTACTCCAGAATGAGGTGGAACTCATCTGTCTCCTGTAGAGATTCGGGCGGGACTACGATCTGTTCATCCAGCATATCATGAAGCTTCGGCCCCACCGGACCACACAACAGGACCTGAGAGAAAACAGCACACTTTAGGAAACTATAATCAGGTATGAATGTGCTGCTTTTGCATTCTTAAAAGTG